CTAAACGGGGTTAGATCGCCGAAACAACAGCCCTTGGTCGGGTAAAACCCGAGTCATTCCGGTACGTAGAACCGACTGTCGTGGGAATGCTATTGCTCACTTGGAACGCTGGCGGGTGGAGCGCTCAAATATTTGCGGGCCAGATATGTCAATTTGTCGTATTTTAGTTTAGTTTTCCACCAATCGAGATGATTTTCACCGAGATGAGCTCGTTCTTCTTTAAGATATATCCTATACGGCTTCAATTGAGCTTTGATTTCAAATTTTTTGCTGACTGTTTAATAATTTGACGGTATTATAATTTGAAGTTATGTCTGACGGAGTTCGAATATGCGACCACCTACAGCAGAATATGTAAACATATATGAAATGTGATAAAATAATAAAATAAAAAATTCTTTGATTTTCCTATTGATTTTTTATGTCCCAAAGTGGTTAGCTACAAGTTAGGTACATCAAATACAGAGGTTACCACCCTTGACTACATCTAATGCAGAGGTAGCCACCCTTGACTTTCGCGGCCATCGCCATACAAATATAGTTAGCTTTCCTCAAAGGAAATATACAAATAATAGTGGTCTTTAGTTCCTTCCTAATCAACTTAAACTTAGCTTATAGTTAGATACATTTCCTAGGGTATGTATTTCTATTTTCTACGACTATACTAACCATTAAATGTGCGATGCGCTGCGATTGTGTGCTTAGTACTTGCCCATGTACACATTCGCATTCGCAAAACATTCGTATCATTTGATGCGAATGCGTATGTCGAATGCGAATGTGTAAGCTGATGCGAATCGTTCGCATAACAAATGCGAATGCAAATATTCGCAACATCTCTGATATGTATGTACACGCAAACTTAAGTATGTACCGGTAGTGTTGGTAAATTGATAGTGTATTCGCACCCTAAATTCATGTCATGGTGCCATCATATGGCAGCACTAAATTCAGCCGGGAGCAACCGCAGTCAACTTGAGTTTTTCGTCGATTTTGGAGCAAAAAGAAAAGATGGCGGGCAGAGAACGTTTTTAGTATCTCGTCAGGTTCTCGTCTTTTATTATTGCAGTCAATTTAAAGTTCAACTTTTGCCTTTATCTTGCTTTGTATTTTGTACTATGTCAAACGTGTGACAATACAATTTAATGTGACTTGTCGTCGCCAACATAAATCTCTAAAAACTTGTTCTCTGCCGCCGTAAATTGCAAATCATCGCCTCGTAAGGAATTTGCGATCTGAGCCGCCATTTTATAAAACTTGATTGGAAGTCATCGCCGTGCAAGGAGTCGGAGTCGCTGCCATCTGTAAAGGCCGAACAGCGTATTTTACTAATTTTTCATCGTAAATCTGAGTCGCCATCGTCTTCTTTGCTTGTTGCAATTTGCAAAAACGCCGCCTGTCTTTTGCAAAGTTGCATCCAGCTTACAAAATTTGCAACGAGGTGTCATCAGCACCCTTTCGCTTTTAGCCATTGCCGTGCAATCGAAAGTGATAGGTGCCGAGCTTCATCAGTCCTGCCGGTAATCGGAATCTGTACAAATAACGTGTAGAAGCTGCCATACAGATTCGGGCCGAAAACTTTAGGTTTGTGACAGATAATATGAGTTGCATTTGTGCATACAGCATTTTCGCTTGTTGGGTAATTTGCGACACACTACTAGGCATATAAGCCACATAAAATAGCTCCGCTTGTTATAAATTCGTAAGCAGTCGTACGATAGATTTACCGCCAAAAGTTCGTGAGAATCATATTAGCCCGCCAAGTTGTTCGCCAGCCACAGTAATTCGTGGCTCAGCATACTGTTACTCGTCGATACAACTACTAAGCACCGGTATACCCAACCTAAAAATATTTTTCTACGTGATTATCTGCGCTAATGCGAACAAAATCTCACATGAGTCAACAGAGGGGGATTAGTGCAGAAGACGATGCAGATATAAATGCGACGGTCGTTGAAGCACCACCCGGCACTGCGCCACAACGACAAAGTGTACAAGTGGACAATTTAACCGCTTTGGTCGCTTCAATTACAGCCTTACGTGAGTCAATTGTTCAGCTCCGAAATGACACAAATATTCAGCGAGCGGATATTCAACAACTGCGACAGCGTCTTGAAACACATCAAGTGGAACAGCCTCAATGGCAACTACCGAACCACACGGTAAGCGACCAGGATATAGTCGTTCCTTTAGACACACAGCAGTCACTACCGCCAACAGTGACACCATTGCCGCGAACGTCGTTAAAACAGACGAATCTTGCACCAGTTTTTGTGGATAGTGCCACAACTAGACTGCATCCCCTACCTACGTTTGAAGGAAATCCGGAGGATTGGCCGCTATTTATCGCGAGTTACCGCAATACTATTACAGAGTTTGGTTACAACGGTAGACAAAACCTCATGCGTCTACAAAGAGCATTACAGGGGGGGCAAGGCAAGCCGGTAAGTCGCTTCTTATTCACCCAGACGACCTGCCCAACGTTCTGAGCGAACTGGAATTTAACTTTGGTCGGTCATTCTTGTTAATACGTTCTCAGTTGCAAAGGGTGCAACATTTCCCCTTGTATCACTGAGAGCCGCCTTGGTCAAATGTTAGAATTTTCAACGCGAGTACGCAATATTGTGGCATTTTTCAAATTTTCAACGCGAGCACGCAATATTGTGGCATTTTTCAAATCCGCAAAATGCGAACATCACTTAGCAAACCCTACCCTGTTGGAGCAACTCGTGACCAAACTGCCACCCACCAAACAATATGAGTGGAGCAAGCACGCTGCACAAATTTCACCGTTTCCGACAGTTGGAAACTTCGCTGATTGGCTAAGCGAGTTAGCCAAAGTAGTCGCACGCGTCAGGTTCACCAACCTACAAGTAGCCGCCAGACAACGCTAGCAGGAGGTGGTAGCCGTCGTTTCAGCGGTAGCAGTGTCAACGAAAGATGGGCTTTGTAAAGCGGCACCAACTATGCTTCGGATGTCTTACGAATGGACACAGCCGGTCAACCTGCTACCGAAGAACAGTGTGTGGAGTCAATGGCTGCCAGCGGAAGCACCACCAGCTGTTGCACTCACAAAACGAAGCAAACCGACCAACATCCAGCGACAACCAAGTACAGCACGTTTTCAATTTCCGTCAGGAGAGCCAGTCAACTTGATTAAAAATTTTGCCGGTGACATTTTTTTGGACCCCGAGGTAAAGTGGAAGTTTACGCTATGATCGACGAAGGTTCGTCGGGGTCATTATTAAGTGACAGTATCGCCACCAGTCTAGGTTTGCAAGGACCATCATCACTTCTGTCGTTGCAATGGTACGGCAGGAACAAAACCACAGGGAAGTCCCGTAAAGGCACGGTCGAGTTACGACTGTGCGGACTGTGCGGACTATTCGAAATCTTAATTTGCCAACTCAATCCTTTGACAAGAGTAAGTACAACCATTTAAAAACAGTGCCTTTGTCGAACTATACGGATGTAAGGCCAGACCTACTGCTTGGGCTAGACAACTCGTTTCTGGGCATTGCCCGCTATATAGTCGACAACGGTCCCGAGCAACCAGTTACCGCCAAAACAAAATTGGGTGGATGGTTTACGGGCCAATCCAGGATATCACCACTAGCGTGTCAAGGGTGATGTTAGTCAAAGGGTCAACCGCACTGACACAATTACATCAGCTTGTAGAAAATTATATAGTAGTCGACAGCTTAGCCATCAGATTTCCGGTCAATGCCGCACTGGAATCTGATGTGGACAAACGCGCGAGAGAAATACTCGAGCAAACTACCAAACACATCGGGGGTCGTTATGAGGTAGGCCCGCTGTGGCAGAAAGATGACGTCAAGTTTCCCCCAGCTACGACATGGCACAAAAGCGCTTACTTGGTATCGAATCTAGAAAGAAGAGAGAGCCAATTTGCCAAAAGTTACATACGCGAAATCGACAAGTATGTACGCAAAGGGTTACGCTAGGGAGCTTTCTGTCGAAGAAGCCAATATAGTGAGGCCAACTACATGATACCTGCCCCATTTTGGTAAAGTTAACGAACACAAGCCGGGAAAGCTCCGCATAGTGTTCGATGCAGTCGCTCAACAGTGCTCTACTCAAAGACCCATCAAGGCCCAATGTTTAATCAGCATTCTTTTCAAATTTCGGCAAGGAATCGTCGCAGTGGCTGGATACATCCAGGAGATGTTTTCTCAAGTGCGCATCCGGGTTGAGGATCAAGAGGTGCTTCTAATGAAATTAAAAATTTTCTGCTGCAATACACATGCTAAGCCCCTCGAAATTTTCTGCTGGGCTATGCGTTACAGCTTCCCAAATTTTACCCCTACCGAAACCAAAGATGTATACACATCAAAGAGTACAATAAATGCCAACACTGGTTATGGCCATACTCAACACATATATATTGTACAATAACACAAGCATGAGCAAAATATCAAAATAATTTTGATTTTAGCGAAATAACTGTGCAATTTAGTACAAACAACCCCATACACCACACAAACGATTTACGCAAGCCCGATATTGCGCAATGTTTTCTTGTGGTTTAGGAGTCCTATAACAGCGGCGTGTGCAAAGAAATTCCGGGTTGTGTTTCCCTTATAAGAGTTACCAAATCAAACTTATAAATATCTATATATAAATGTTGAGACTTTACATAACGAGAAAAAAAATATTTGCCTTTAAACGAGTAATATTATTCATAGTTTTCGAAAATTCATTTCTGCGAGCCGAAAGTATCAAAACAGGGCATTTGTGAACAAAAAAGTATCAAAGTATCAAATCTTACAATTTAGAAAAAAAGTATCAAAACTGGTACAATTGTATCAAAATGGCAACGCTGATCGTGATGGAAAACGAAGTTAGTTAACATCTTGTCGTCATAACGACGATGGAATTAACAGCGCCAGCCGAGTGAAAATACTGCTAAAGTAACAGAGGCAGCGCCGCTGTGATACCCTTGCTTGCCTCACCGCTCGTGCTACGAATTCAAATTACTACTATAGTCTACATGCGTCTTCTGTATACTGTTTATCCTGTGCTCCTAGGCTTCGAAATCGCGGTATTACTTTGCGCTTGTATATTTGGCATGGATTCACATTACGCTCCAACGATCGCCGTATACAACTATTTTGGCTGCCCGTATCAAATAAAGAAATAATATTTTCAAAACGTATTCTTGGAAAACGGATATCTAAAGCGACACTTACCATGCTCTTAAAGTGCACATCCTTATACTGATCGTCCGCCGCGTCGACCCCCGCCACTGTCTTCTTAGGGCAATTTTTGTATACGTGATCCAGTTTACCGCACTTAAAACACGAGCCCTGCATGCGCTTCGCTTCCTTGCAATCTTTCGCGAAATGCCCGTAGCCAGAGCAGTTGAAGCATCTCATGGTGGGTTTGTCGCTCGATGAATTCAACGTATTACGACCTGAAGGTTTCTGGATCATTTTCTTATACTTTGGAAGCAGCGCCTTAAGAGCTTCCACTTTCGTTACGCCACTGAATATTAAGCACTTCCCGGAATTGTCACGTAAGCCATCTATGATGAACTCAATAAGTTCAGCTAGTTAGGCTTTCCGTTTTGCGCCAAACGAGGTATTCCAGTTTCTTAAAAACATCTTTGACGCTAGTTGACCACTTGAATTCTTTGCATAGGCACTGTTTCATGTCGCCCCATGATTGTTCGTCCATATTCATTACGGCGTGCTTACAAGAGCTTTGACTTCTCGTCACAGCTGTAGCACATCATCACATTGTAGAAATCATGGGTCCACATTTGAACGTCTATGCCTTCGTCTCCACTAAATTTTTGAATTGCATCCTCAATTCGCTGAAGTTTACAGAGAATTTCGGTGTTGCATTTACCTGTTGTTGTTGTTGTTGTTGTAGCGGCTACAACAACCCCGCCCAGATCGGTTGGTATCTCAGTCGTTGTCGTCAAGTTCCACTAACGGCAACCCTAGGAAGCGTGCAGCTTCTGTGGGGTTTGTCCACAGGGACAAGGCCGTTAGGGTTGTCGGGTTTCTCCGCATGCCGGACACTCATTCGGCACATCCTCATTCAACCTACTCAAGTAGGAGTTCAACCTGCTGCAGTAGCCGGAGCGAAGTTGGGCGAGTGTTGTGCGTGTCTCCCGAGGCAGATGAAGCTCCGTCTCGTCTATGTCCGGGGGTGGTATGCCTAGAACGGCATTCACAGGTCTAGAGTCTACATAACTCGAGACTGAGTCCCTGTGAATGCCGTTCAGTGCCTGTCTGTAAGCTGTCGGGTCCAGAGGTTGCTTAATGAACCTCTGGACTTCGTCCGTCAGTTCATATAGATGCCTCCTGACGTGCCTAGGCGAGGGCTCCTCTGCAAGCAGCTGTCTGCTTGGGTGGCCACTTCTGTGGCTCCCGATCAGGAACTGCTTGCAGAGCATTATATTATGCTCCTTTACAGGGAGCATTTGCGCCTCGCCGTGCAGGTGGTGTTCAGGCGACATCAAGAGGCATCCCGTCACTGTCCTGAGTGCGGTGTTCTGTACAGTCTGTAGCTTCGTCCACTGCGTCCTATTAGTCCCTGGCGACCACACTGGCGCTGCGTAGTTCAAAACCGGCCGGCCTATTGCCTTGTATGTTGCCAGCAACGTTTCTTTGCCTTTGCCCCAAGTACTGCCGGCTAGCGACTTGAGGACCTTGTTGCGGCTCTGTACTTTATTGACAATAGCGGTTGAGTGCGCAGAGAAGGAGAGCAGGCTGTCGAATGTTACTCCGAGTATTTTGGGGTTATTCACCGTCGGAATTGGTGTGTCAACGACGTGAATCCCCAGCGGTAGCCTGACCTCCTTCGTCCAGGTTGTGAACAGGGTCGCGGAGGATTTCGTAGGGGAGAGGGCTAGACACTTTGCAGTGAAGAAGCGAGAAAGTTCGGAGAGATAGCCGTTTACTTTCGAACACAGGTCATCCATTCCCAGTCGCCATGATCGAGCAATCGTCGGCATAAGAGACAATCGAGACTCCCTCTGGTGGTTGAGGGAGCTTTGAAATGTAAAAGTTAAACAGTAGCGGGGAAAGGACACCACCCTGAGGAACCCCCTGTTTTATTTTTCGCTGCTTACTCGTTTTGTCTCTAAACATTACCGACGAATGTCGACCACCACTCAGATAATTTGCCGACCACCGTTTGAGCCTCTGTGGGAGAGAGGAGGCCTCTATATCTTCTAGCAGCGTGGAATGGCAGACGGTGTCAAACGCCTTTGACAAGTCCAACGCTACTAGAATCGTTCTCTCACAGGGACGGTTACGGTTAAGGCCACGAGTTATCTGAGTGTTTATGGCGTTAAGTGCTGTTGTTGTACTGTGCACTTTACGGAAACCATGCTGATGCTTCGCTGGGGTCAGGTGGTTTGTGAAGTACGGGAGTAGCAAGGCCTCGAGTGTCTTCGCTACCGGGGAAAGGAGTGTAATCGGACGATACGAATCTCCTTTGTTGGCAGGTTTCCCCGGTTTGAGCAGTGGGACCACTCTCCCCACCTTCCAGATGTCTGGGATGATGAGAGTGGCCATTGACAAGTTGAGGACCTCCGTTAGGTACGCTACCCCCGCAGGACCCAAATTTTTCAGCATCAGCATGCATATTCCGTCGGGACCCATGGCTTTGGAGGCTTTCGCCTTCCCGGTGGCCACCTGAACTTCACCGCAAGTGAAAGCAAGGGGGGCACAAGTTGTTGGCAGTTTGTGCAGCCTTCTGGTTACTCGACGCTTGGCTTTGTCCACCGGAGGATGCAGTATGAACTGCCGGCTAAAATAGCTCGCGCATCGCTCCGGGTCCAACGAGGCATGGTCGCCGAAGGAAATTTCGACTCTGTCGTCGTGCTTCGTCGGATTAGACAATGACCTCACGGTTGACCAAAGCTTGCTCACACCAGAGGTGAAATTACAAGTCTTCAGATGCTCATCCCACTTCTTCCGCGTATGTACGTTTACAAGTTGACGAATATCCGCGTTGAGATCCCTGATACGGGGACCTCCGGGATCGGCCTGACGAAGGCTATCACGCTCATCGGCTAGAACAGCCGCTTCGGCAGGGAAGTTTGGACGTGGGTCCGATATACATCCTGCCGGTATAAAGCGAGCTGCAGCAGCAGTGATAGCCCTGCGGAACTTACGTTCACCGAGATGGACGTCGGTTGGTGTGGGGAGCGCTGCGAAGGTGTTTTCGGTAAACTCCGCGTAACCTTTCCAATCAGCTTTAGAGAAGTTAATATAGGTCCGGTGTTTGGCGGAGGCAATGTCGGTTGCCCCGTTATGCTATTTATCAGACCAGCGCTGACTATTGTGATGTCTGGCGAGCTACTGCAGTTACCCATAATCCTGGTGGCTGCGTCGTCGTTCATTGTGCAGAATGTCGAATCGTTTATCTGCTCAGCCAAGTCTGTTCCCCTACGATCGTTTGACAGGCTTGAGTGCCAAAGATCGTGGTGCGCATTAAAGTCACCTACTACCGTACGGTTTTCACCTCTGAGGAGCGCACCTATATCAGGGTGATATCCTGCCGGGCAGCAGGTGACAGGGGGTATGTATATGTTAAATATTTCGAGCTCGACATCGCCTGACCGGATAGCGATGCCCTGACATTCTAGGGTGGTATCCCTAGTTGAATTGCTGTGCAACTTCGTCTCTTGGACCGCAGCTATCAATATACCATGCCGACACATGAAGACGGTTATCTCCTCAATCTTGCTCTGTAGCCCGTTACAGTTAAATTGAAGGAGCTTCATGTGGTTCGGGAGACGTGTCGTGATGTGGGGTGTAAGTGAAGTGTATGTTCTTGCCGCCATTGGCTGTGTGTGCTGCTCAGGTGAATGCCGCCCTGTGGTGGAGGTGGGGGGCGTCGCAATTGGGGTTTGCGACCGAGCAGCGCAACACGGGCCCTAGAAGTTCCCAGTCCAATCTCGCGTGGTACGCTGACCTGAGCATGCCCTAAAGTGGCACCAGCCAAGGCAGCTGTTGCACTTGACTGATGTCAACTTACGGAATATCCTGGTCTGACATACCGTGCAGATTGTAGGGGGAACCAGGAGTTGTTGGCGGTGGCGTGTGGGTGGTGGTGCGGTTGTGTGTGTTGTGTGGTCTGCAGTGGCTGTGGTACGGTCTGTGGTGTTATTATGTTGTTGTGTAGTGGCGACTGTGTGTGGTTGCTGTGTGAGTGTGTGGGGCTGCACGGGCGGACTGTTGTTTGCCGTGGAGGCTGCTCTGTTTGAGCAACAGGGGGCCACGTAGGACGTGGTCCACTGTCCGTGTGTCCGTAGTCCCGAGCAGACCCTGAGGTGACTCCACCCCTCGCAGGCATTACACTTGACTGAGGTGGAGTTGTGGTGTAATCGTCTCCGGCATACACAGCAGGTGTATGTTTCTGGCCCAGGGTTTGACTCGATGCCAGCCCTGAGTAGGAGAATACGTAGTAAATGTAGCCCTATGGACGGACAACTTCTGAGATACTTCGCCGACCTAAACGGGGTTAGATCGCCTTGCATTTACCTCGTCGAGTGCCTTGATTTCTTTCTGACGTCTGTGGAGCTGCTCTTCAAGTTCCGTTAGCTCGTCACTAACGGTGGCACCCGCCATGATGCCTGCTGCTGAGCTAGCGTTAACGTTGGCCTTTTCGACTGCGCTGTTGTTTGAAGAAGAAACACTGCAAATTACTGAAGTTGCGTTGCCGCGTGTTGAAATTTCACTTTTATTTGCTAAAATTCCGCTGTCGATTACGGAAGCAGCTATGCCGATTGCTGAAGTAGCGTTGTCGTGTACAGAATCGCACGGTTGTTTGCCTGAATTACGCTGCCGATTACTGAAGTAGCGCTGCTTTTTACTGAAGTGACGCTGCCTTTGACTGAATTGGCGCGGTCGTTGACTAAATTGGCGAGGTCGTTGACTAAATTGGCGCTGCCGTTGACTGAAGTGATGCTGCCGTTGACTGAAGTAGAGCTTCCATTGACTGAAGTAGCGTTGTAGCGTGCTGAAGTGGCGTTTTCGTGTACTGAAGTGACGCTGTCGGTTGCTGAGGCGTCGCTGGCGCTGCTGAAGTCCCGTTGTCAATTATTGGGGCTTCCGGACTGTGGCTGTTGTTGTTGTTGTAGCAGCATACAAGCTCCCCAAAGAGTTTTGGGGAGTGTTGCTGGAGTGGCCAAATATAAATCTGGGTCGTTTCGGTTACGTAGACCCAACTGTCGTGGGATCGCCGGACAATGGCTGCTGGCTGCCGATTCCTCGGCATTGTCCCTATGGCTGATGACAGAAGAGTTTTTAGTTGTTTTAAAGTAGCTGTATCTGGGAAAGCGATTCCCAAATCACGTAAGGCGTTTGCAATTTTTTGCTTGTCTGCCATTGACTTAGTTAATTTTACTGTTAACTTAAAATTCTTGTCTACACTTGACGTAGGCATTTTAGACATACACGTCTTTACGCTT